CCATTTTATTTGTTCTTTTACTGCTTCGGTGGATCCCGAAATGCAGCTAGCGCGTATGCTTGTGGCCGCGAGCCTGCAAGCCCTGAACCCGCTGGTAGGCCAACCGCACCCATAGAGTACCCACTTACTTGCCATTTCCCACCCACCACTCCACCAGCACAGCGCTCAATTCTAATCAACAATGTCCACCTGGTTATCTTCTATGTTTGGTGCCAAACAAACCAAGAAAGATGCACCAAAGAACGCTATAGTGAAGCTCAGAACACAATTAGAGCTCCTGGGCCGCAAGGAAAAGTACCTAGAACAGCAAATAATGGAACAAGACCAGCTGGCAAGAGCCAACATCAGCACCAACAAAGTGGCGGCTAAAAACGCCCTGAGGAAGAAGAAAACCTATGAAACCCACTTAGAAAGAGTCACAGCACAAATCATGCAGGTTCAGGCACAGAGCGATGCGATCGAGAACGCTAACCTCAACTACGAGACAATGAAGGTCATGCAAGAAGGTGCGAAAGCTATGAAACAGATACACGGCAATATGGACATCGATAAGGTCGATGCTGCCGTGGATGAGATACGGGATCAAATCGCCTTATCTGAAGAAATCGGTGAGGCTATTGCACGCCCTCTGGGAAGTGATATGATTGATGACGATGAGCTAGCTGACGAGCTAGAGGCGATGGAGCAAGAGGCACTAGATGCGAAAATGGTCAACGCTGGCACTGTCCCGCCAACAAATGTTGGTCCTTCTAAGGTGTCTATGCCGAGTGTGCCTGATCAGCTTGAGGATGAAGATGAAGAAGAAGAGCTGCGCCGTCTTCAACAGGAAATGGCGATGTAAATGACTCTCATTCTCACAAGCTAATCGCAATCTATAATAACCCCCTAGGATACTCGTCCTATCAAGCCATTCCTATAGCGCTATTGGCTATATTTGAAATAACGTCTGGTTGAAGAGCGATATTGGTTACTTACAATGTCTAACCATTACAGTTCTTCCATGGTTCTGTTCGTTGGGCTTAACAGCGACCCGATCAAATTGATCCTCTCCGTTTTGTTGTATCTACAGCGAGTCGATTGCTGTGCTATCCATTTCTATGTAATTTACTGGGATTCACTGCGTTTGCTCATATTCTGTTATAATGAGACAGTATAGCTTTTATCAGATCAGATCCGCATTGGAATCGCCGGTCCATACGGCCATTGTGAGGGCCGACACACAAACACACAACCTTAACACAACAGCGGCATATCCATTGGCTAACACTGTTTAGTCTCAGAAGCTCGCTTCATCGTTTTCTCCTTGCAACCTTCTTACTTTCCTCACATAAATATCACACCGAATTGTCTAATACTCCGATCTGACATTGTCCTATCCGTCGTTAGATACTTTCTGATAGTGGACTTCCCTTAGCAACGGAGGTTCTCTTTTCCCCACTCCCACTGACCAGTGACCTTCCTAACCTTTCGCCTTGACTAACACAGAGTGTTTCAGACGCCTCTTTGACCCGCATCCGTTAGGACAAATAGGACAATTACCGAAGTAAAATACTCATTGTGAACCAATAATTTTAGAATTGTCTGAAATAAGTACTATGGAAGACCCATTAGAGACTACAACCGCGACAGCGCCGATCGCGCCCAGCAATCCAGGCAGGGGCTGGAAAGTGCCTGCTCCTGACGCCACTCCGGCTACTGAAGAATCCTCGTCGACTGCTTCGCCAGTGTTTATCAATCGTCGCACATCTGTTTCGGCAGAGTCAATGGTTTTTTCTCAAGGCTGGAAACCTCCAGTATTCCCGAAAAGTGCTGACCAGACTAGCCGTCTCGAAAAATCCGTAAGTGATAACTTCATTTTCCGCGCATTACGTGAAGATAGCTTGAAACTAGTAATTCAAGCTCTAGAAGAAGTCCCACATGATAAAACTGCAGCTGGGTGCGTCATTGTGAAACAAGGCGATCACGGCGATTATTTTTACATTGTCGAATCTGGAGATCTCCGGGTTATTATTGATGGCGTACAGGTCGGCACGGTCGGTCCTTCAGGATCATTTGGAGAACTAGCTCTTCTTCATAATGCTCCTCGTGCTGCCACTGTTGAGGCTATCACTGATACAGTTCTCTGGAGGCTGGATCGCGTCACATTCCGGCGCATCCTCTTTGAGGGCACCTCTAAACGGCGTGCATTATACGAATCCTTTCTCAAAGAGGTGCCTGTACTCTCCGTGCTAAAAGATTACGAATTGCTCAGGCTCGCCGATGCTTTAGATTCTAGAACTTATGCTCCAGGTGAGATAATAGTGAAAGAAGGTGATGCTGGTGATGCATTTTTCATTATCGAATCAGGTGATGCCGAGGTTATTAAGGAAGGTTCTGGTAAAGTGCAGGACTTGCATAAGGGCGATTACTTTGGTGAGCTGGCCTTACTCTATGACCAACCTCGCGCTGCAACGGTCAAAGCTGTCACTAAAGTAACTGTTGCGACTTTGAAGAAGAACGGTTTTCAGCGACTTCTCGGACCGGTCGTTGATGTTCTACGGGAACGTGCGCCACAAACCTAAAAGGACCCGATAAAGGGCTTTACATGTGAGAAACTGCTTGTCTGGCTCCGAAATGAGCTCAATTGTTGTATACCATTCACAATCCGACTGTTGTGCTCTGTTGTTTTGTTTTACATTCTTGCTTTTTATCCCTCTTTTTTGTCTCGTTTCTTTACTTCACTGCTTATTTATTCTTAATTAGAACACTACTTTTGCGTTTATCTCATTATCTTTCCTAGCACGGCGATTTGCTATTCTTCTCTCTTCACTTTTTCATCTTTGTTCTCGCGTCCATTCAGGTATACTTTTTTGGAAGATGGAAAGATATCGATTGCAAATGCGTTTCGACAACTTGTCTGTGTTCCTGATTTGCCGATAATAACGGTGCGTTTTCTGTACCGTTTCTAACGGCAGATTATCGTTTTTGAAATCTTTGTTCGAACTTTGGATGTTATATTTGATATTACGTCGATTATCTGGCTTACGCTTTTCTTTACAATGCTTGGGTATTCAGATAGAGACTACTTGAGTATTTGATGATTCCTTCTACATGTGCTGGTCGACATATATACAGTTTATGACGATTTATTTTTATTATAATAGCCATTTCTGCGTTGTTACTATTAATTTTTTTTGGTCATCGTTTCCCTTTTGGGCACAAAACTTAATGCAAGCTACAATAATCATGATTGACTCCGAATCGGCTCCCGCCTTCTCCCGCCCATAATATTCCCATATAAATAAGGAACAACCTTAATTTCTGTACCCTATCACACCACCCTATTCATTCACCGCTAGCTTATTCCATACTTGCATAATACAGTCAATTAGCTAGTACGCAAAACAAGTTCAAATACTCAATCTGCTGCTATTTATTATAATATTCATTATAATATTATAGTAGATTGTTTTTTTTACATTATCCATATAGACACTTGTGTTCTTTTCGCCGGTATCACACTTTTGTTTACCCTGTTGGAATCGAACGTTCCATCTTCTTCTACTCTTTCTTTTTCCCACTATCTGCAGCTTTCCAAAGAACTGAACAATGGTCAATCATACATTTACGTGGACAGGCCCTGTAAAGAAAGACGCTTTTGTCACCGGCACTTTCGACAACTGGTCAAAATCTTTCCCCCTTGTTAAGCAGGCCGATGGCACCTATTCGATTACTATCCCTCTGAAGGGTGACGAGAAAGTATTGTACAAATACGTCATCGATGACGAATGGGTTCTGGACGATTCAGCTGAGAAAGAAACTGATTCTGAAGGTCTTACAAACAACATTGTTTCTGTCGATACGCTTACGGCCGCCGCAACTACTGCTGCAAAAGGCATTCCAGAATCGGGTGGTCTTCCGATCACCTCAGGCAAAGAAGCCGAGGCTACTGCTGCTATTGCTGCCACTCCTGGTCCTGTCATTCCTGAGAATGCTGCTAGCATTGATGCTCTCCAGCAACCCACTACCACTGGTGACTCTGCCTCTTCCTCGTCTAAAGATAAGAAGAAAAAGAAGAAAGCCAAAGACAAGAAGCGAAAGAAAGAGAAGGAGGCTGAGGCCAAGGCTAAAGATTCTACTATATCAGCAAAAGAATCTGCTTCCAACGCTGTGACTGCAGCCACCGCTGCTGTGACTGGGGCTGCCACCGCGGTCGCTACTAAACTTACCCCTGATTCAAAGACCGAAACCAAGGCCGATTCCAAGCCCGAATCCAAGGTTGCTGAAGTGACTGATGCATCTACCCCTGTCGAGACCGCCGAGGCTGCTAAGGTTTCTGAGGCTTCTAAAGCTGTCGAGTCCGAAGCTGTGCCTGTTGCCACTGCCACTACTCTCAAGAGCACCACTGAGACCGGTGATGCTACCGCTGCTACTACTGCTACTGAACCTGAAGGCGATGCTTCTAAGACTTTGCAGGATCGCATCAAAGAAGGCAAAGAGTTCCTTGCAAAGGAAGCCAAAGAAGGTGCTGCTCATATTTCCGAAGGCTTGAAGGAGATCAAAGACGGCGTGAAGTCTAAAGACAAAGAGACCCTTAAAGAAGGAGGAGAGGCTGTCAAGCATGGTTTAACTGAAGTTGGTGCTGCTGTCAAGTCCACCAGTGATAAAGTCTACAAGGAAGTTTCTGCTGATGTTAAGGCGAAAGAAGCTAAAGAAGAGGCTACTGCACCGGCCTCTGGCACGCCCAAGAAAAAGAAAGGATTCTTCTCTAAGATTAAGAAAATGTTCGCTTAAGCAAGGAATGACGATTTCTTAAAGTGGTTACGTTTCCTTTTTATTCTGTTCGATAACACTGCACTAATTGTTTTCTTCTTTTGGTTTTAGCTGTTTCTCTCATTATGGTCTTATAGCTTTTCACATTCACATCTCTTTGTTTTTGTTTTAATCATCTCAATGTATTTTAATAAATATATCAATCTCTATAGTCTAGAGAGTAAAAATAAAAAGAGAATTAAAAAAATTGACACGGACAGGAATTGAACCTGCAACCCTTCGATGCCACAGCACTGGAGTCGAAAGCTCTACCATTGAGCCACCGCATCACTTACGAGTTTAATGCCTTGCAGAGACTATATAAGCTGTACTCTCGTATAGGGTTAGGTTTTTTATAAACTGTTCTGTTACAGCGCTTTATGCTGCTATTGTGAGTTTTGATCGTGTTTAAGCTATTTGGCGGATTTTAATTGGTTTTCGCGAGTCAAAAAAGGTATATAACGCAATGCCGTTAAAGGCGGTATAGTGGGCCTGAACGAGTGTGCGGGCTCGACCGCTAGGCAAATCAAACAACTCAATCATGTGCACATTGATGACACGCTATCACGGCACATGGCCATAACATGCCGATCCTTATGAAATGTATTAAATTAACCGTTTATAATCTCCGAGTTTTGTAGTTTCATCACGGATATAATTACGTTGTAGCTCGGTCAACATATGATCCGAAAAGGCTAAATCGGCAAACAAAGTTATTTTTTGTCGGTGCCCTAGTTAGTGCACATGGCCGTGATCGCGGCGATAAGTTTAAAATAGAGTCATTAAACGACGGAGCTAAGCAGGTAAATACATATATATATAAACATCAGCATATGTCGGCGTTGCTAGACTTTAGATTTATATTATCTGAATAAAATGGCTCGCGACAGTGATGAAGACTCGGTATCCGTGCGCAGCTTCACCAAACCCGAAGATGTTAGCGACGTCATGTTGCGTGCAGCTTTAGAGAATCAAAGACGAGATCCTGAAGGTGCCGAGATGAGTATTATTCAAAGAATTGCAAGTCGAAATAGCAAACGAGAATCAGTAATTGATTCCCAATCAAAAGAATCAAGTCGGAAGTCGGATCAAGGTATTGAGGCGGGTCCGGCAAGTGGACCGCCAAATGGGCCACCGCCTAAATATTCATTCTTCCACAGAGAACTAGCCGCAGCGCGCAAATCTGTGTTCTTGCAGTCGTTTTATCTTATTATTATGTTTGGTGTGTTTATTCTTTCTGTTATATCTATATACTGGGGTGCTTTCTACAACAGGGCCAGCTACACTCACAATTTACGTCTATGGATCGTGAACCTTGACCAGCCGTCTACTGCCATGTACGATACTCTCCTTGACGCGATCAATACATTGCATTCTCCCGATGGAACTACACCCACGGTCATTGCCACTGATCAGTTCAATACTGTTGAAGAGGTTTACCATTCCGTGCTCGATGAGCAGGTCTGGGGCGCCTTTATTATTATGCCGGGTGCACAATCCCGACTCGACAGCGCTACCCAGGCCTTGTCTAGCGAAGGATACAACTCGAGCGATGCTGTCCAGTTTGTGTACACAACTGCTAGACAACAGACCGCTGTTTCTTCGAATCTTCTGCCGCACGTGCAGCAGATGCTAGCGCTCTTTCGAGAGACATACACGCCACAGTACGTCTACAATACTACACAGAGTATCAGTGCCTCTGATCTTCAAAATGCCGGCCAGTCGTTCTCGACTCTTCTAGCTGACCCGGTGCTTCCTCTGCTTAACGATCTGCTGCCAGTCAACGAGCCGCTGAGTGTTGCTATGTTCCAGGTAGGCATGATCTTCATGATCATTTTGTCATTTTTTAGCACCAACTTTTTCACACCTGTACATCTCAAGATCATGAAATACCTTTTCCCGAGAGATCTTATTATCTATCGCGTTATTAGCTCAATGATCGCTTTCTTCTTTGAATCGCTATTCTTATCGCTGGTCTCTCTAGCTTTTCAAGTCGACTTCACCAAAGTTTACGGTCGAGGAGGTTTTGTCGTTTTCTGGATGTTCAATTGGCTTGGGTTCGCCGCCTTAGGCGGCGCATGCGAGAATTCGGCTACTGTCATCTTTTCCGTATACCCTCCATCTCTCGGCATTTTCCTGCTAACGTGGGTCATTCTTAATGCTTCAACCGGTTTCTCGCCGTTTGACCTCATGAACCGCTTCTATCAGATCGGGTACGCTTTTCCTGTATACAATGTTGTGCAAGCGCAATTGCACGTTATGTATGGCACGAAAAACTACACAGGACGATCTGCGGGTATTCTAATTGCCTGGATTGTTGTTAACACTATGCTGCTGCCATTCTGTCTCCGTTTTGCTATGAAGAGAATGATCAAACAGCAACAACAGCAACAACATGGATCCAAATAGAGTTGAATTTCATGTTATTAATCTAATATATATATATATATATTGTGCTTAAAGTAGTGTTTTGTAAATGAGTGTCAATCTCTAGAGAATGTAAGCCGTTTTAACTGTCTTTCCGTTGATTGGTTAAAAACAATGTAGCGGCTAACTTAAAATTTTACAGTCTAAATCGTCTATTTTGTTCTTGTTTTTACGATTTTTAGCGCAGCATGCGCAATAGGGCTATAAAAAACGTTAGCAATGCATTGGTATACTAAATATATGAGAAGACTCTTTTCTTATTCACTGTACACAATAAACATAGCTGTCATGTGCTTGTCTTGACATCATTATAACCTTTATATGACACCCCGCAAACACAACCGAACTTACACTAAAGCTTATTCCGCCACTCGCCAAAATTGCACGCAGTTGATTGTCTATATACTAAGACAACAAGATAATTATTCATCCTATATATATTAGATAAACTAAAACTAGACTTTAGACTGAATGTAGACTGACTATAGACAGCGAAACCCTTTTCCGGAGGTATTGACTGGGAGGCTTTGCTTCCCCGGGTCATCCCATTAGCGGGGCTTTTAGGCGCTAAAATACAATCCAGCCCTTCGATCTCATCTTTACAGTCTCCAACTCCTGAACCCTCTCGAGAATCACATGGGGAAAAATAAAGGCGGTGTCGCCGAATCAGACGAATCAAGCGCTTTTGACAAGTTTCCAGAAAATGAAAAAGCTATCTTACGTGGTCAAATCCACGTCCCTGAAACCAAAGTGTCATACCTGGACTTATTCCGCTTTGCAGGACCATCTGAGTACTTTCTGTATGCTATAGCTATTACTGCTGCTGTGGCTTTAGGTGCCTCTTTGCCGCTCATGACGCTACTCTTCGGTAATGTCACAGGCGAGTTTGCCGACTATTATCGTGGACCATCAGACAACTTCCAGCACACAATCAATCAAAACAGCCTGTATTTCGTTTACTTGGCTATTGGCACTTTCGTCGTTGCCACTATATCCACATTTTTGACTATTCGTCTAGGAGAAATACTCGCAAACCGTATCAGAGTACACTACTTAAGAGCCATCCTACGCCAGAACATCGCCTTCTTTGATTCGATCGGCTCCGGCGAAGTCACCACCAGGATCATCACTGACACAGATCTCATACAACACGCTATTTCCGAAAAAGTTTCCGTAATAGTCTCAAGCATCGCAGGTCTTATTGCTGGTATTATCGTCAGTATAGCTCGTGCCTGGAAACTCGGTCTCATCCTTCTGTCCGCCGTCGTCACTTCTATCGTGCTTCCTGGCTTTTTGTCCTCACTCATGACAAAACATCTTATTAACTGCAATATCCAGTATGCAAAATCCGGCTCTGCTGCAGAAGAAGCTATTTCGTCAGTGCGTAATGTTCATTCTTTTGGCCTCCAAGCACGTCTTCTTGCCAAATACGAAGTGTTTATCAGATCGGGCGAAAAGTCCAAAATAAGAGCCAATGTTTTCCTCGCCGCCCTTATCGGATCTTTTTATTTCATATCTTTCTGCACCTATGCCCTTGGTTTTTGGGAAGGTTCTCGTCTGTTGGCTTGGGGCGAGTTCGAGATTCAACATATCGTCAGTTCTGTTATGGCTATCATCTTTAGCTCCTTCTCCGTCAGTCAGTCGTTCTCACACATAAGAGACATGGGTATGGGCGTAGCTGCCGCTAAGCGCATTTTTGCTACAATCGACCGCAAATCATACGTCGACCCCGAATCAAATGAAGGCAAGACTCTAGACACTGTAAAGGGTGAAATAGAACTGAAAAACGTTCGATTCGTATACCCTTCACGTCCTTCAGTCACTGTACTTCAGAACATGTCTTTGAAAGTTCTACCTGGACAAACAGTCGCTCTTGTGGGCATGTCTGGATCTGGAAAAAGTACTATTATAGGCATCCTTGAACGCTTCTACGCTCCTCTCGCCGGTGAGGTCTTAATTGACGGCCACGATATATCTACTCTCAATGTGAAATGGCTCAGACATCAGATTGCCCTTGTGTCGCAAGAGCCCAATTTATTTGCAACGACTATCTTTGAAAACATCGCTTACGGCTTAATAGGAACTGAACTCGAACATGCATCTCCGGAAAAGAAAGCCGAACTTATTCACGATGCTGCAAAGCAAGCCAACGCCTATGATTTTATCATGAAACTCCCTGAAGGGTTTCAAACCAATGTTGGTGAGCGTGGATTCCTGATGTCTGGAGGTCAGAAACAAAGAATTGCTATTGCTCGTGCAATTGTCAGCAATCCTAAAATTTTACTTCTTGATGAAGCAACTTCGGCTTTAGATACTGAATCGGAAGGTATCGTTCAGGACGCTCTTGACAAGGCTGCTAAATCTAGAACAACTATTATTATCGCACATCGTTTGTCCACTATTAAGGACGCTGACAAGATCGTTGTGATGAAGGATGGTCGTATTATGGAGTCGGGATCTCACAGCGATCTTATTGCCAAACAAGGCATCTACTTCAAACTTGTGGAAGCCCAGTCTCTAAACTCGAAGGTAGCAGAGCCGCACTCTGAAGGTAGCTCAGAATCTGTTGACTCTGTTGAAACAGAAAAACCTGAAGAAATCTTCCAAGAGGAGGACGACACTAATGCTGCTGTTACGAACCGCAAATCGTCCTACTCTGCCTCTTTAATCGAACAATTGAGATCAAAAGACACTAGGTACCGCAACTATTCTAACTTTCAAGTGGTTGTTGAGCTATTCAAAATGAACGCACCAGATGCGGAATGGCTTACCGCCGGTTTCCTATTTGCTGTCATGTCAGGCCTTGCGTACCCTGTTCTTTCTGTGTTCTATGGAAAAGTCATAGTCGCATTTGCCTCTCCAA